TAGCCCATTTAAATCAGGGCTTTTTTAGGCCCGAATAGTTTAGACCGAAGCCCGATAGGGCTAGCCCGAAGCCCGCTAGGGCTAGCCCATTTAACTTGTGTATTACAACTTTACTATTTTATTCCATACGTAACTATGAGTTGTAGCCGGTTATTATGATTTTGAAAGATAATTATTAACAATTTCGTTATTCTACTTCACACCACATTGTTTAAGCCAATTAGAATGACTAATAGAAAACACGTGAAACAAAGACCTAACACATAGAACATAGTGATAAAATATAAATTCAGCAGTAAGATACAATATCGTGGAAATTTTCAAAGCGTACAAAAATAAATAGTAAAATGGTAATTTTAAGTAATAGTTCGAACATTTTTTTTTCTTTTGAGAAAAACATGTCACTTAAGAGTTTGTAACTAGTGTTCATGCATGAATCCCGCTTGTAATTTTTATTTATATGTTTTTTATATATTATTATTATTATAGCCCGTTTAAATCGTTTAGCCCGAAGCCCGCTAGGGTTAGGGCTAGGTCCTTTTATTGGTAGCCCTTTTAAATATGGGCTTTTTAGACCCGGACCATTTAACCCGAAGCCCGCTAAGGCCAACCCGAAACCGCAAGGGCTAGCCCGTTTAACATCTCTAGTGGTGGCACAAAAGAAGCCTAAAAAGAAATAAAAAACTTCATACTTATATTCTCATTTTTTTTTAGTCTTACAATTTTTTGAGCAAGGTTGTCAAGCAACTGTTACCAACTTTTCCAATTTTTTACAATTAAAATTTTTAATTAGTCTTTTTAATCTGAGTAAAATAATAAATGATTATAAAGTAAAAAATTCTTAGGATGCCATGGAAGCAAAAATAACAAAATCCTAAGAATGTTAATTCATTTCAACTTGTTCGTTTACATTTGTGGGTAAATATTGGGATATTTATTATGCTAGATTGTCGTGCAACTAAAACTACACCTATATTAAATTTAGTAGTAGATCTTAAAAATAGCAATTTAAGTTAAGATGATAATTTCTTTGTACATCCATGATCCAACCGTTGACTACTTTGTTGTTATCAATAATTACAACC